TTATTGAAGTAAAAATAGGCGTTCAGGTAAGAAGACCAACAGATTCTTGCCTGGTCCATCTATGGAACTTAGAATAACAATTGCCTAAGGTTTTTCCCTTTGACAGAAATTCTCTTCCCACGTCTGTTACCAAGTTTCTACCAAAAATATTTAATGTCATTACAACTGTTTATATGCTTCTTTAGCTGATGTTTTATTTTTCCTCTCTATCAAAATCTATTTATTTTTTTTTTCTTATTTATCTAAATAAAGTACTATTTTTTCTTTAATCGACATATAAACAAATTTCTTAACTATAAACTTTATTTAGTAATTAAAAAACTCTTAAATATCATAATCATTATTGTCTTTAACAATCACGATCATTACCCATCTGACATTTGCATCTCTCAAACATCATCACTTTCCAATTAGAATGGAGAGCATTTTACATATATTTCAAAAATATTTATATATACATACATATATATCAGCAACTAACATTAAACCACAAAAAAAAATCACAACAATCGATCAACTACATAATCACACACATACACAAACATATACATATATATCAAATTTATAATATAATATACATACAAATTATTATTAAAAAATTAAAAACAAAATAATAATTAATCAACAAATAAATCATGTGTTTGGAAATCTCGATATAGAGACAATAGCTGTATATGAATGTGAAACCCGATCTCTCTTTCTCACTACCCTCTGTTATGACCTATATTCAGTTCCAGTTGTCTAACCAATAGCTAGACAATTTATCAAAAAAACCTAAACAAATTGCGTATTTACTTTTGAGGTAAATATGAGCGCGGTATAAAAACAAAAAATATCCAAATGCTTAACAACAATTGTTTTGAACTTTTTTCATATAAAAAAAAATACATACAAACAGATAAATATATATACCTATATTATATATTAAACCGAAAACAAAATAAATAATTATATAATTATGTATGTACTGTTACAGTGTTACAGTTTTTTTTTTTAAATAAAGAAATAAATATAAAAAATAAATCCCAACAAATTGAAATATAAAAAATTAAAAGATGATATATAATTACAACAACAACAAAATTGGAATACTCAAATTTAAGTATTATACAAACAACAGCAACAACAACAAAAATATGTACTAACCGAAGATATTAAATTATAATAACAAATAAATAAATAAAGTGTTATAAAAGAATTATAAAATTTAATGGAGTTTTAATTCAAAATAGTAAGAAGATGGGTCCCATCTTCGATTCACTCCTTCTGGTACCGGTATTCAACTAATTTTGAAATTGTATTTATTTTACAAGAACAATTTTTTTTTATTCACCTGATTGTATGCATATTTTGTGCGAATACCAGGCGCTCAGAAGAAAATAGAAAGTAGCCCGCCAAATTAAATAAACGAAGAAGAAGAAGCTTTCAAGACTGATTTTGTTAAAAATATTTTTTTTTTCGGGAATTACATTTAGACTTTAGATAAAAAATATATTTTTTAAAGAAATATTTTTTTGAGTAACACATAAAGTCGTGGGTTTTTAAACATGGTTGTTTTGGGGACCAGATATGGGCGTGGATTCATTAAAAAATACCAGGGATCACAAATGTAAGTGGGTCTAAGGGTTGTCTTTCCTGACCTGTATCAGGATCCTAAGGAAGTAAAAAAATTGTCATTAGTAGGGAAATGGCATATTTTATTTCGAAAACTTAGTTAAGGTTCGACATCATTTTCACATAAAACATTTTATAAATTTTTTTTTAAATTTTAATTATAATTAAATCGCGATATAGCCAGACTTCCTACCTTGCATATGGCACATTTTTTTACAATATCTGCAGTAGTTCAACAGTTATGACAAAAAAAAAAACACGACATAAAATTTTTCATTTATGATTTTTTCAACTACTTCATCAATAGATGACGCTGCGGTCGCTAAATTATCAGGTCGTTAAGGAAATTTAAATCGGTATATATCTATATTACACGAAATATATGTAAACTGTTAAAAACTGTGTTTCCAAACAGATAATAGCTAAAATATCACCCTTTATAATTGTAAAAATAAGGAATGGCAACAGGTGTAATAAAATTTCAGAATTTCCTCTAACCATATCTGGAAACTTTATAAAAATCGGTTTAGTAGTTGCCGAGATGTTTGTATTTGAATCCAAAGATGGTCCGAAATACACCTCCTGCTCGATTCTGGTCGCCTATTACCTGGAAATGAAAAACCACACAAAAATCGGTCTTTTAAAAAAGGCAACAAAAATTGTTTTCATAATGTCTACTGCTGTTGTTGGGAGGGGGCAAAGGGCTGTTCGAGGTACAATTTCTTGTTGCTTGATATGTAGGTGTGATTGTATGTAATTTATGCACATATGCAATGCAAAATATATTTACTTACACATACACCACACACTGTAGCTGTATAAAGAACAAGTTTCCATTTTTGCAAGATCGATTTTTTGGTGTTTTCCATTTTTTGGTAATAGGCACCCAGCATCGAACAGAAAGTATATTTCGGAGCATGGTAGAATACAAATTGTAATAACTCAGGTAATAGTTAACCGATTTTGATAAATTTTGCAGCAATGGTTTGGTTTTCGGAGACATAAGATAAAATTTGCATTATGTCAACGTTCAAAGATTTTTCAAATATCGGGGTTTTTTTTAATGTAAACAAAGAAGTATTTGGACAGGCTGTGTTATACCTCACACAAATAATAGTTCATTTTAAAAGTTGACGGCTCTGAATACAACTGATATTTTGTTATAAACTATGGATTATTACATTGTAATAGAGGCAGTGGACCGATGAGTCCCATCTGCGAACTGCAAAGAAATATTGCGATGTGTGTATTTTGTTTTAAATCGGACATTCCGTTCGTACCTTTGTATAACCTTTGATATGACACCAATTTTTATACCCTTCACCAAACTGTAGTAAAGGGTATTGTGTCTTTGTGCATATGTTTGTAACAGGCAAATGGAATCGAGATAGATCCAAGGTTCCTTTTGAGAGTATGCATAGAATCACTTTTGGAGGATGAACCCTATTTAAATTTCGTCCGATTTAATGTAAATGGTGCGCCAAAGTCCCTATATTTCTTTCCATTTGCACGAAATTTGGTATAGCGTACTGAATTAAGTCTAAAATAATTATCGCTACTTACTTAACTGGCTTGTTACAGAACTGTTGTTAAATAAGCCGAGCTTGTGTGCATCCCCTCCAATTTAAAAGACCACGCTCCAAGATGTTGTTTCCTACTTGGTCTTTCCATCTGATGTCATTCGTTTTATTTATGGCGGTACCAAGGTATATAAAATCGTTAACTACCTCGAAGATGTAGTTCTCAGGTTCCACAGTTGGTTCGAGCCTACTGGACGTCTTGCGCGTTGATGCCATCAGCTTGGTCTTCTCGCCGTTTACTGCCAGACCGACTTTAGCAGACAACTTCTCAATTTGTTCAAAGGTGGCTGTTACCGCTTGCAATGTTCGACCCATTATATCGATGTCATCGGCGTAGGCGAGTAACATGTGTTGTTTGGTGTACAGAGTGTCATTTCTGTTCACCTTTGCGGCTGGTATGACCTTTTCCAGCAGGATCTTAAAAAGATCACACGACAAACTGTCACCATGTCTGAATCCTCGTTCGGTATTGAAGGGCCTTTCCGACTTTAAATGCTGACCTTGTGTCACTTAAAGTTATCCTGCATAGCCGTATTAATTTTGCAAGAATGCCGGACGTAGACATGGCTTTAAACAACTCTGATCGGATAGGGCTGTCAAATGCGGCTTTATAGTCGACGAATAGGTGGTATGTGTCGATGTGTTTTTAGTGGGTATTTTCCAGGATTTCGCGCAGAGTGAAAATCTGGTCAATGGTGGATTTGCCAGGTCTGAACCCGCATTGGTATGGTCCAATAATGTGATTGACCATTGGCTTCAATCGTTCACACAGCACACTGGATAGCACATTATATGCGATGAGAAGGAGACTTATTCCTCTATAGGTGGCACATATCGTCTTGTATCCTTTTTTGTGGTACAGTTGTTTGGTACAGCTCTATTATTTGGCCCAAGGACGAACCCTATTGAAATTGGTTAAAATCGATTCAGATTGAGATATAGCTCCCATATGTAGTTTCGAACGATTTTATGTACATGGTGCACCGAAGCCTCTGTAAATCGAAAGATTTACGATTCTTGGCATAGCGTACTGAATTACTTCAAGAACGATGTGTTTAAGTTTCGTAAAAATCGGTTCAGATTTAGATATAGGTCCCATATATTCGTCCGATTTAATGAAAATGGTGCACCAAAGTCCCTGTTGATTGTTGAGTTATGGAAATTTATATTATAACATAATTTCTGGTGAACCCTAAATTAAATCGCCGCGCAACTTTTCCCTTTTTTAATGGCGGCATTTCCAACAATTGCACCTTTTTTTATTATCTATACCGCATTTAACTCTTTTATTGAGCAACTAATCTGCTAAGATTAAATAATCGTTTCTAAGTACACTGAAGTTAGGTAAAACAAAAAATACCGCACATGTCTTAGCAATTGCGAAAATTTACTTTCAGTAGCATAATACGGCTAATGACATTTATGACTTTCAATTCGTGGCAAAGATGTTTCCAGACAAATACGACTACTGCAATCATACCTACGCATGTGTGCAAATTGCATAGCACACTTGTACCCCGCTCCAAGAAAATACCTATAATCGCAGGTAGAAATGGCTCATCGTAATTTTTCTGGTAATTTTTGTTTTTTTGCCAACAGCTCTGCTCTGTACTTCCTTACCGCATAGATGCGATGGCGATAAAAACGCTCATCATTCAACGGAGCAAATTTAGTAGCGCATGCAACGTGCAACGGTGACATTGAAAGTGACAGTGAAAAAGTGAAGAAGAAGAAAATAGAAAAATAAACTTTGTTTCGAAACTTCCGCATTTAAAATGTTTATAAATAGAGGAATTTTCATATTAGCTGTCATATATTTTATGGTCGAAGTGATACGGGGAGCCACTGTTGTGAGTTATGAAGAGCCACAAACAAATGAAATCGATCCAGAACCAACAACAAAACCTTTCAAATGGCTGAAGGGTATGCAAGATATGGTCTCAAGTCCAACGGGTCATGTTGTAGTGCAAGTCGCGAAGGAATTACTAAATCGGTCAACGGGAAATAGTCAAGTAGGTGTAAATCCGGATGAAACCAACTAAAAGAGAGAGGTGGAGTCTTGTGTAATTGGAAATTATTTTTTCAGGTTTTAAGTTTGAATCTGACGAACTTGATAATAATTTTATTGCTGAAGGTGTTGATATTCTCGGCTGGCTTATTGGGTGCTGGACATTGGAGTAATTATGGTTATGCACGATCGAATGATAATGGTAAGATAAAGACAAACATAGTTATACCTTCAACCTTATGGTCAATGAAGATGTATATTTTTTACTAAGGTAAAAATGTGCCTCATCGAAATATTGGTTTTAGATCACATTTTTCTTTGAAACAAACCAGGTTCAGACTATTTGTAGTGGATTTACAAATGTCCGTCTATATGTGCTTCTGGCTGGCTGATAATTACGATAACTATCCAAGGCTGTAATCGATGTCATTCAAACTTTGCGAATCGTAGCATTTTTTTCAAATCTGAATCATTTCGAAGATGGGAATATGGGTGCACTCCATCTGCTACCTGCCTCACAAAATGGCCAAGAGTTTGAAGAAAATGATTTACTTACTTTACTGAGCTGGCTCGGGACAGAACATATGCTCCATAAGCCGAACTTAAAAAATATTTCCAGGCATCTCGATCATGTGCGCAGTTTTTTTCAATTTGAAAGACATATCAAACATCCTGCATTTGATCTTTCTATCGAATTCGTGGCCTTCCCCTTCTGTGTGAACCATCAGTTGGCTCGTTTCTGTATGCCTGAGGCATCCTCATCCATTCGCACAACATGACCGTATTCGCTGCAGCTCGATACGACTGGCTTAGGCATACGTAGTTGAGCGCAAAAGTCGATTTTGCCGATAAAAAAGTCGATTTTTAAACTTTCCGATTTTTGCCTTTCACTAAAAAGTCTACTTTTCGATCTTTCGATTTTGTCAAAACTAATCTTTTCAAATCGATTTTCGACTTTTACCGACAAATTGTTGGCAACAGAATGCATAATTTCTGGAATGCGCAATTTTGGGCCTTGTGATAATAATGAAAGAATTTAAGAAGACTGATGTACGCCGATATTCATCGTCGACGCAGATATGATCGTAGATCTTGCAAGATTTTTTCTCTCGAACACTCTAAAAGCTGCCTTATCTGCTTACGCAAGTACCCATGTATCTGCAAGTACTGATGTCATTAGTTTTATTTACGGCGGTACCCGGGTAGATGAAATCTTTGACTACCTCGAAGCTGTAATTTTCAAGTTCCACAGTTGGTCCTAGTCTACTGGACGTCTTGCGCGTTGATACCATCAGCTTGGTCTGTCGATGTCATCTCGTATGACCTTTTCTTTAAGGTTGTTGAGAAAGTCACACGACAAACTGTCACCTTGTCTGAATCCTCGTTCGGTATTGAAGGCTTCGGAGAGGTCCTTTCCTATTTTAACTGATGACTTTGTGCCACTTAAAGTTATCCTGCATAGCTATATTAGTTTTGCAGTAATGCCGAAAGCAGACGTGGCTTTAAACACCTCTGAGTTGCGAATATGTGAATGTGTCCATGTCATTGACCATTGGCTTCAATCGTTCACACAGCACAATGGATAGCACTTTATATGCGATGATAAGGAGACTTATTCCTCTATAGTTGGCACATATCGTCATGTCTACTTTTTTAGTACGGGACACAGGATGATAAGGTTCCAATCATTGGTCATGCATTCCTCTTGCCAAATTGTACTAATCAGCTGGTGAATGCTCCTGACCAGCATCTGACCACCAATATTGAATACTTTGGCTGGTAGTCCATCGGCACCTGCGGCGTTCTTATTCTCAAGTTGATTGATCCTGACCTCACCTTGGCTTTATACCGTCTATTTGATACCATACGCTGCAAAATTCTCCTTCCAGATCCTCCACACGCTATGTGTATCTGTTACGAGGTTTTCTTCTTTATCTCTACAGGAGAATGTGCCCGCACAAAGCCTTCGGTTTGGTGTTTTACTCGTTGGTAAAATTTCCGGACTTCGTTCTGACTCCTGTGCATCTCGCTTTGCTCACGCTCACGGTTTCCTTGTTATTTTTTCTGAAAATACGTTTCTCCTCTCTCCTTTTCTCCCGATAATTCTCCCTCGCATTACGTATTGCTACTGGCTGCTCGGTTGCCCTAAACGCTGCGTTTTTTCATCAGTATCGTACATAGGGATACGTAGTCGATTTTATACTTTTTGAAGTTTGCCTTTGAGTAAAAAGTGTACTTTTTCGATCTTTCGACTTTATCAAGCCAGCTTAAAATCGATTTTCGGCTTTTAACGACAAGTGCAAAATCGACTAAAAATTTTAATTTTTTTATGAATTGTTTCCAGCTGATAAAATAATGTTCCGGAATATGCACTTTGGGGTTTATGATAATAAACCAATTACTTATAAGGAAAATCGAAAGTCGATCTTAAAAAGTCGACTAAAAGGTGCCATCTCGCTACATTAAGACGAGTGCTAACCATGGCTGCTACAAGGTAATGGTCCGAATCGATATTCGCTCCTCGGGTCGATCGAACGTCTAAAACACTGGATGAATGCCTTCCGTCTATCAGAACATGATCGATTTCTCATTGTTTGATCGGGAGTTAGCCAGATGGCCTTGTATATATCGAAGATACTGGAATTTAGTGCTGCTAACTACCATGTTTTTTATTTATTTATCTTTCGTGATGAGCTACATGAGCGAAGTTGCAATGAAAAGGAAAGCCAGAGAGATACTACATTCCCACTATTATGCGACGCGTTTCGCCGTTGGTTAAGCGGCTCATCAGACATATTGGGCAATGTGGCTTACAAATGTCGTTACTTGATAATTTATAGTTATGTCGAACATTGTTGCGAAATTGCATCTACGAATTAAATTCAACCGTGTCAAGGTTCGGACATTTGGCATCACACCAGAACATCCATTTTCAGAGCAGACTTTTTTGCTGCCACGAAGTCAATCAACCTCATGCCGCGTTGTCTGATGTTTCTTCATGGAGACTGAATTTTCCGACAATGGGGCAAAAATATTTTCCCTTCCGATTTTTGCATTAAAATCTTTTTAATGTCATGTTCAGGGCAGCGCTCATATGCTGTTTTTAGGCGCTCGTAAAATATGTTTTTGGTCTGTTCATCTTTGTCTTCAGTCGGAGCATGGGCGCAAATAAGACTGATGGAAAATAACTTCGCTTTTATACGGATTATAGTAATTCGTTAATCTATTGTAGTGAATCTGAAGACGAAGTCTTTTATTCTCCTGTTAACCATAAACCGCAGACGATTTTATGATAGCTATAATACAGGGCGTAATCATCTGATTTACTTAAACCAGTCCCTTTCCATCGCATTTCCTGTAAGGCAATAATATCGGCTTTGTACTTCTTGAGTACATCCGCCAAAGCGTAAACTGCGTCTGTTAGAGCGTTTTGTTTCCTTTTTCGTTGCTTTTTCATAGTAGGAGGTGTTTTTCGAGTGTGCGAACACTGCGCCTGTTCTGTACAACATGCGCACATTCCATGTGCAGATTCGCAGATCGTGGTCCTTTATACGTTTGCGGGGGTTGTCAACATTAGGGAGGGTTTGGTTTTCTTTTTCTTTGTTTTTTCATGGTAGGTTGGGTTTTCCGAGAGTGGGCAACTAACCCGATGTCTCATCCAATTTTTTATAGTTCTCATGGATGAAATCGTGGCACATATCAGCTCACTATTTCAATGGGTGACGAGTGCCCACAATTGATACTCATCAGGTCCGTGTTCAAAATTGATATGCAAGAGGGACCAAGATAAGCCCGAGCTTTGCCATTTTAAAGCTGATCTGGCGGATGATAGGTACCAAGCAACGGCTCTGATTCACAAGTTATGACTAGTCTAAAATACCAATGATTTTCTCTAAATTTGGCAGCATGACAAACACTTGCTGTCAGCGCCATCTATTGAATGGGTAGATCCAATGATCGTATATGCAAAATTTAACCTAATTTGTTTTTCATATAACTTTTTATCTATTGTAGATATTTAAATAAAATTAGTGTCATATGAAAGGTACAATTTCATACTTCCTTGTAAAATAACAATAATTTAAAAATTTTGTATGTCTGAATATGGAATGCAGTATTAAAATATTCAATATTTTCCTTCAATAGATGGCGCTGGCGACGGGTTTATACAAATTCCATAACTTTTTTATAGCCTTCACCACACTGTGTGATCCGATTTGGATGAAATTTGGCATAGGTCACTTATTTGGCCCAAGGATGAACCCTATTGAAATTGGGAAAAATCGGTTCAGATTTAGATATAGCTCCCATATATATTTCCGTCCGATTTCATGTAAATGGTGCACCAAAGTCCCTATATATTTCGATTTGCATGAAATTTGGCACAGCGTAATAAATTACGTCTAGAATAATGTGTGTTAAGTTTCATGCAAATCGGTTCAGATTTAGATATAGCTCCCATATATATTTTCGTCCGATTTCATGTATATGGTGCACCATCTATATATCTATATATCTTTCGATTTGCACGAAATTTGGCACAGCATAATAAATTACGTCTAGAATGATGTGTGTTAAGTTTCATTAAAATCGGTTCAGATTTAGATATAGCTCCCATATATATTTTGGTCCTTTTTAATGTAAATGGTGCACCAAAGTACCTTATATCTTTAGATTTGCACGAAATTTGGCACAGCGTACTGAATTAGGTGTAGAAAGATATGTGTTAAGTTTCCTGAAAATCTATATCTGACCAAATGAAAAATTGATTATCGATTGCAGAATGACATGTTAATGGATCCAATTTCATTTTACTGGTCCTTTAAAGATGCGACGTCTATTAGGATTCATCTGTTGAATATACCCAAAGTGGTGAAGGGTATCATATAGTCGGCCCCGTCCGACTTTACTACTTTCCTTACTGGTTTTGTTATAACTTTTTACGCATGGCTTGTATACGAATGAAAGTGGTGTCATGTGAAAGTTATAATCGTATACTTTCTTCTAAAATTTCAAAATTAGTTCAATAATAATATGAAATTAGAGTTTTTTGTACCATTTTTTACAATAATATTTACTTAGGTGGATATCCAAAATAATTTTGATATTTTTAATACATTTTTTCTTTTCAGATTACTTTTTGGGTGTGACACAAGGCGAGGATTATCTAATTACTGGATTTTTGGCAGCTCAAAACGGCTACGATCAATGTTTGTTTGCTGCAGCCTGTGAATCGCCACAAATTGCCTATGAATATGCCAAGGCAGCAAAGGCCTTAATCGAAGGCATTGAAAAGTTTCAGGGGTAATTATATTTAAAAAAAAAATGCTATATTAAAAATAATTCCAATATTCATATTTATTTTCTCGTGTTTGCAGAGAACCCTTTAAAAATGTCCGTTACATGGAACTGGCTGTCTTAGTGGAAGAGGCGGCCTATAGTGGTCTGCGTGGTCAACCCTGCAATGCTACACAGAATTGTGCAACAATATTTGCAAATTAAGAACAATTTTTATTTTAAGTAAAAAACAAATTATTGTTATATGTTTCCTTAATAATTATTTTCTAGTTTAGTTTTTATTATTATTGTATTGAGCATTAAATGTAAATCTAATTATTATTATTTTTTCATAGAAATCATTAATAAATAACATAGCAGTATAAAAAACACCATTGAGAGGATTTTTTTCTCAAATTATTTTGTGGTTTTGTGAGGAGGGGCGAAATGCCACTTTATATTGCCCAAAGTGGTGATTGTATGTTCTTAGTTGAGTATGTTGGGTAACAGTCTTTTTGCAAATTATGTGACGAAAAAAATTAAATAAATAATCATAAATGCAAAAGTTGCTTAGATTGAATATTCCGCACTATGTCATTAGTGTGCTGTACCCGTTACCGCCTGAACATATTCGTTGTAGTGTAAAAATCCATCCTTATTGGCGTCGGCTATTAACAGGAATTCATCAATGACATCTGTAATTAAAGAAAATTTGGAAAATCAAAAATCAAAAATATAAAGATTGAATAATTAAAAACAAATGAGCGGAACAGTATAGTCGAACGGGGCCGATCATATAATACCTTAAATAACTACCCCTGGACTTAAAGTTGCAGTGGATATAAATTTCGATTCTGTGACTGACTGATCAACGTTTAGACCTTTTTTTGGAAATTCATACTAGAACGGCAACAAAAGTACTAAAATACTTTATCGTATCCGAAAAGTACTAAAATGTACTAAATTTTGTACAATTTCGTAGCATGTGAAAGGATAGAGGAAATACCATGAAATTTGGAATGCGAATCAAAGTTGAGAAGTAGGGTCCATGTAAAGAGATAGTTTTGGAAGTGTGTACTCAAGTAGAGGGAAAGTACTAAACTGTACTAAATTTGGTACAATATATGTTTGGGGGAACGGAAAGAGCTGGAATACTGAAGTTTGAAATCATTTTTTTATACCCTCTACCATAGTATGGTGGGTATATTAATTTTGTCATTCCGTTTGTAACTCATCGAAATATTCATTTCCGACCCTATAAAGTATATATATTCTTGATCAGGGTAAAATTCTAAGACGATCTAGCCATATCCGTCCGTCGGTCCGTCTGTTGTAATCACGCTATCTTCTGTAGGAACTGAGATAGATCGCCAAATATTTGTATAGTCAAGTTCGAAGATGGGCTATATCGGTCCACGTTTAGGCATAGCCACCCTATAAGGGTACCGCCCAATTTTCGATATTTTGGGGTTCTTGAGCCCACTTTTCTACCGAATTCGCTGAAATTTGGTACATTGGGTTCCTTTTGGGTACCAAATGTCTCCAATAAAAAAATATAAATATCGGCCCACTTTTTCTGGTTGGGTACCAAATTTCTTCACCAAAAATTATAAATACAGGTGAATTTTTTCGGGTAGGCTCATATAAGTGCACCCCCAATTTTTGGTATTTTGGGGTTCTAGAGTGCGTTTTTCAACCCAATTCGCTGAAATTTGGTACAATGGGTTCTTATTAGGTACCAAATGTGTCCACTAAAAATTATAAATGTCGGTTCACTTTTTCTGGTAGCCCCCATATAACGGAACCCTCCAATTACGGTATTTTGGGAGTTTTAAGAACGTTTTTAAACCGAATTCGCTGAAATTTGGTACAATGGGTTCTTATTGCGTACCAATTTTCTCCACTTAGAATTATAAATATAGGTCCATTTTTTCGGTTAGCCCCCATATAATGGCACCCCCAATTTTCGGTATTTTGGGGTTCTTGAGCTCGTTTTTCAACCGAATTCGCTGAAATTTGGTACATTGAGTTCTTTCTGGGTACCAAATGTCTCCACTACAAATTATAAATATCGGTCCACTTTTTTCTGGTATATATAACGGTATCCCCCAATTTACGGTGGTTTTAGGATATTCTTAAGCGCGATATAACCCGAATTCGCTGAAATTTGGTACAATGGGTTCTTATTGGGAACCAAAATTTCTTCACTAAAAAAAATATAGGTCCATTTTTGGGGTAGCCCCATTTAAGACACCCCCAATTTTCCGTATTTTTGGGTTCTTGAGCGCGTTTTTCAACCGAATTTATTGTAATTTGTTATTTTGTAGTCGCATATTGTAACAAATCTTCCAACCAAAAATTATTCCCATATAACCCCCTTCTTATATTATAATAGTTACCTGATTAGTTCCGTGTGTAGCGATTGTCCCATATAGGCGTATTCTACCATAGTATAGGGGATAGTCGTTACTCGAAATAGTCAGTTTTACCCTACAAATTATGGAATTGTAAGATGATTTAGCCATCGGTTGTAATCATTCAGCTCTTTAAGGAAATCGTGATAAAAAAACTCAAACCTCACGATAATGAAATATATCGGCCAGCATTTAGGCATCTCCCCCATATAATTATACCTATTGGGTTCGAAATTGACATATGTCGGTCATTAATTAGGCATAGCCCTCTATAACCCCCAAATATTCGCTAATTCCTACAGTATGTAATCTAACTTTGTAATCTAAATTGCAGAAGTTTGAGGTTTGTATATTCTACCGAACTTAACGCTTTTTCACTTGTTTTGTCTTTTTTTTTTTGAAAATCTAAATGGTACTATTTATGGTACAATTTGGATTTGAGAGAACCGATAGAGCTGGAACAATTTTTAAATGAGATAACTACTGCATTGAGATATTTAGGAAGTTTTGGAAATTCGTACTAAATGGTACTAAATTTGGTACAATTTGAATTTTAGGTGAATCTGAAATTTGGAGTTAGGATCACTGTTGGGGTGTAGGATTGGGGAATCTATGAACATTTGTAAATTTCTACTAATGTGTACTAAACGGTACAATTTGGATTTAGGTGAACCGGTAGGGCTGGAGTCCTAACATTGGTAAATATGATTTATTTTGGATTGTTGCGGTAGAGTGTTATGGAATTTTTTATTAATGTGTGTGTACTAAATGGTACTAAATGTGGGAAAATTTAAATTTTGGTGAACCTAGCTGGAAAAATGAAATTTGGAATTAGTTTTGTAAGTAAATTCTACAATAGTACAAGGTTAATAAATGGTACGAAGTTTAGAATAGAGCTAGACTTCTATTGCGGTCAGGATTGGTGTGTAGTGTTGAGATATGGAGGTAGTTTTCTGTGAAAACAAAATAATATATTTAGACCAGGGTTGCTTATCCATATACGCTACCGTAACTGAGCATCCATGGTTAAACACGCATTCTCATTTTTTCACATTTCATCAGTCGTTTTAATGGTAAATTCACAATTACGCTCACCCACATACTCTCAATTTTATTATGCCCACCACTGATTTAGACTTGCTTAAATAATTCCCACACTCGCTAACGAAGTAGCGGGCATATGCTAGTTATACATTGTAAGAATACATAGAACCATGCCCAAATATTGATCGATCTTCAAAAAAAGTGCTGATTCGTTTGTCAGATCATCTTCCCCGTGTTAATTTTTTTAGATCATCATTGTTGTCTCTAGAGCGACGAATCGAATCTAGATTCAAAACTTCGTAACGATTCGTCCATAACTGTAGCCCTTAATTTGTTTTCTAAATTATAATGGATCGGCGGACGGACAGAAGTACACACATACCTAAATCGATTTATCTAATCGAAATATGACGATCGGCATACTAAAATGTGTGTCTTGGTCCAAGCACTTTGGACCACACAAATTCTTAATACCCTCACAACAAAGTTGTGTCGAATCTAAAAACTTACCGATTATATGATTTAGTTCATCATTGGCATTTTGTATGAAATTATCCCGATCGATTTTCTTAAAATGATCATCCTGATGCATTGCAGCCTGCAGCAGCTCCAAACCATCCAGGGCATTATTATTGTCTCCATCGTGGATCTGTAAAAATAAAACATCAACATTATTGTTAATAATATACCTATACGAAATTTGTAAAATAATCGGAATAATAGGTCCGGGCTGTCGGTGTGTGTCGAATTTTGTACAACAAGAGAAAATTTTAAAACAAAACATGACTATGGTTTGCTGAGGTCTCCGGAATTACACACAGGTTTTATTATTTTTATTTGGAGATACCAAAAAGAGAGTGGAACGATGGTTTCCATCTTCAAGTTTGAAGGTGGGACCCATCGAACCCCTTTTTCTAGTACCTTTTACACAATTCAATATTCCATACTTTATAAACTTAATCTTGAAACCAAGATTTCATATTAATATTCAATTAATTCTGAAATGTTATTCATTTTAAGATATACGGTTGTATCTTGTAAAATTGCTTCTTTGGAAGTAAGACATTCATCAAATGGTCCTCAAAGGACATATTTTAAAAAAAGTGTCAGTTGGTGTTGTCGACAGATATATACCCTCAACCTGTGGTTTGCGAAGGTCTTCGGAATTACACACAGTTTTTATTATTCGTTTTATATAAGGTATATGTTTCTATCAAAGTGGTTTCGGATTTTCTATTGATCACAACGGTTATTCAATTCGAAATTCAAATTACTCTTACAAGATTATAAAATATTGATCCTTTGTGGGGGAGGTACCAGAAGTTGAAGGCCGACGGTCTCACCATCAGACTTGATATAGGCTGTTAAACATAATAGGTTGAGCAAAGGTTCCAGAAGGAGCGGACCAATGGATCCCATTTTCGAACTTGATCTAGGCTTAGTAAAGATAACAGGTAGTGTAAAGTTTGGTTCAAATCAGAAATTCCATTTGCCTGCTATTGGACTTATAAATATTGGATTATTTTTACCATTCGTGGGGGAGGTACCAGAAGAAGTATACCAATGGTTCCCATCATCGGACCTGATCTAGGCTTTCGACTATTTGAAATAAATTTGGTAGAATTATTACAATGTGCAAAGTTTGGTTGAAATCGGTTACTCCCTTCTAGAGTTATCGTGAGCACCAGCGGGTCAGTCAGATGGACGGACATTTGTAAATCGACTCCAATTGTGTGAAACGAATTTGGTCCGAACGGATAAGGTCTAAAACAAACCAATATACCCTCATTTGCCATAAGGCTGAGGGTTTAAAAATTGTCAATATTGTCAATTTTGGGTTCTCCAGGTACTCATGGGGTACCTGGAGTACCTTCGATAACATAAAGGAAATTTCGTTATCGTAGTAAAATGTAGTAGATTCTTGCAGTACGGGAACAGACCAATAATGAAAATGATAGGTCCATATTTTGACCTATGGGGATAGCGGCCCATGGTCATTATTTTGAATTTTTTAGCCACATAATTTGGTATTCCGGGAAATTAAAGAGTAAAACTCATTTTTGAGTTTTTTATTAGTTTTGATATAATAATTTTTTAGCCGAATTTTCCCATCGAAGTGGCTATAATTTGACATATCGGAATAGTTTTGTATTCATCAGAAATCCGATATTTGAATCCGATATTTCCATAAATTATTCAATATAGGATAATGCTTTAGCCTCCATACAAATGCAATATGAAGGTACCGACCGAGTTAAGGAATTTGAAATGTACCCCATTATAGGGTATGGAGGGTATAACGTAACGACTTTTATACTTGTTAGATAATGTCTATCTAACAAAAATATATTGTTGACTACAATACAAACATATGATTTTTTTAATACACTTTGTTCGGATTTTTATAAATTAGTCGACTTGTCCTTTTGTACTGAGTAAATGTCGTATTTGCTAGCAATAGTCAATTACAACAAGATTTTTTCAATTTTTAGGGGTTACGTTAAGTTCATAGAATAATTCGGAAATTTATTAGGAAATATTCCACACTTGTTCCCGACAATGCATGCTTTTAAACTTAAATTTTTACTTGGCTCTTTGCAAGATAGACCCGCATTCGAATTCTGACATTAAAATGCTGTTTCGAATATACTTGGCGAATGTTACCGTCTTTGCACCATTACATTTGATAAATTCCCTACGTCCCCAATTTAATTTAATAAGTTCTTTTGTATAATATTGATGCTGATTATTGGTGTAATCCATTCATTTCTTTACTTACCTTAAAATAATAGAAATTCTTCTCCTCCTCGGACATATTTTCCACAGATGCTTTTATGCCCATTTCCTTTAAATCATCTTCGATGCGGCTGAAGGCAAGAGAATAAAATAAATCGAAATAGGAATCAAATACAAAATTCATTGATAACTAAAACCAATACACAACACTTACTGCTCTTCATGGGTTAAATGTTGGTCCACCTTACGTTCACTACGCGGATGATGGGGACCACGTTTAATAGCCCAAATGTAATCCAATGTTTGACATAATGTAACAGCTAATATTAATAGATTTTGTAAATTTATTATATCCTTCATATTGTCGTTTGATGTTATGATAAATTTAATTTTGATTTACTTAAATTTATTTTCTATTTTTTAATTCATCTATACAAATAATAAACAAAATTCCCCTTAACACTTGTAAAGCTTCAGCTGATAACGAATAAACAAAATGCAGAAAAAAAAGAAAGACAAACAAAAAAATGCCGTGCGCATGTCCGGATAAAGGATGTACGTATATAATGGGGGATTGTATAAAGGGGTGGCAACTTTTTGCAACCACTGTAGTCAATAACAATTATTTGACACCAGATGGCGCATTCTCTTTATTATTTGATTAAACGTTTATTAAAAAATAAAAATAATGACAAAAATAAAAAAGAGGGTAATTGTCGAAAATTCGTATACCCCAAATATATTTGAAATATATATATATATATAGATCCCCAGTAAATACCCTGTCCAATTTGTCATACTAAGTATCTGGAATTTGAAAATGAAGCACATGTCCTGACACAATTTGACATATCTTCAACTTAGAGTCCCTACAAATTTTTTGTATATTAAGGGCCCCATACACTATACATCATGCCGTACAGCATTTATCATAGTATGTGTTATTTTTTGAAAGTTTATTTATGTATGTGTGACACACACAATGCATGAAGATAATCAAAATAGTTTTGATTTTGAAAATGAACCCCTATCAATCTGGTGAATAATATTCATTTTGAAAGTTGTCAGTAAATATTTTTGTGTAAAATTGTGACGGAATAAAAAACAACTGAATTTACGACTCAAAATGCAATTTTTGGGACAAAAATCTATTTTTTGGAATAGTGATTGGATAGTTTGCCATACACTAGTCAATCTCACATATACAAAAAGGGGTTCATCGGCATGACGGCATGATTTATAGTGTATGGGGCCTTAAATATTCATCTCCAGTTGGAGGGTATTGACAGTTCGGTCCGGAAAAAAACTTAACAACATTAACACCTGAAAATATCGTAGACTTTAAACCATATACAAATTAAACTCCAGTTTTTTATATACTTGATTTTTATTCGAACACCATATCTCCTCCCTCGCCAAATTTCAGTACTTCAATAGAAACTTCTATCCATATGAGTATTCAACGAGAAATTTCGATACATGCCACAACGATGCAGTTCATTGGAGAATTTTTGTGATAAGGGATAATAACGCGATGGTATCGTATAGGGATTTGGGGCATAATAGCCATACTCCGAATTATAGGTACGATACATTGTATTCTGATCGGCCTCAACACCATATCCCTTGAAATCATCTGAAAACAAATTTCTTATTAAATTAGGAAAATAAATAATTCGCCTACTCACATGGACGTTTGTTAACACTTTGATGGGTCTTCAATTCCTCATAGAGTTTGGCCGTTTGGACGATGGGCTTACGTTTTAGAAATTTTTGATATTCCACTTCGGGATTAAATGTTTCAATTAGATTACATTGATTGTCGCACATTGTTATGGAGGAAAGTTTAATAGAACTTTTACGACTTCTTGTTATGATTGAATTAAAAGGTTTGAGTTTCAAAAATTGTTGATTTGAAATTTGTTGTCTCAAAAAATAAATAATGAAGGGTTTCCCCGGCAACCGAGAATGATGGCAGTTGAAATGTAGTATATGTATTAGGGTGTAATGAATTTCAATGGAATTTTTTATACCATTTCAGAAATCTTAGGAAAATTAGACGTAACGGCTGAAGCAAGAATCTTGAAATTTTTGATGAGGGTCAGTCTTGGTTCAAAGGTGACTGATATGGCTTGGTTTTTGGAAATTCGTACTAGACATTCGAACTATATGTATGCGAAAAGTACAAAAATTTACTAAATTTGGCACAATTTCGTAGAATGTGAATGGATAGAGCTAAAAACTTGAACTTGGAAATGAGAATTAGGGTTGAGATGTAGGGTCTACTTAAGGAGATGGTTTTCAAAGCGTATATGTGTACGAAAAGTACTATATTGGTACAAATTTAATTTGGAGGTACAAATCGAGCTGGAATCCTGAATTTTGAAATTAACACTACCATCTTAGTGTAGGATTGGGATATGTACGTAGTGGAAATTTTTTACTTATGTGTACGAAAAGTACTAACACCTACTATAATTAGTACAATTTGAATTTGGGTGAACCGATAGAGCGGGAACAATGAAATTTGGAGTCAGGATCACTGTAGGGGTGTAGAATTAGGGTCATGATCAGAGATGGCCTATCATAAATAGTGACGTAAATGACATACATTTCCTACGTATAATATATACGTCAGAAACGTCGGAAACCCACTCAAAACCATTAGGTTTTTGATAAAATAGCTATTTACATTTATCGATTTGGAAATAACGTATGCTTTACTCAAATCCATATCGAATTTCAAAATGTTTTTTCTCAAAAAAGTTCAGATTTTTTCAGTTCTAGTAAAGAATAGCCAGATATACAGTAAACATAGTATATGTTCTAGGAAATTACTGTATATGGTGATAATATTGAAATAAATGACGTTTACTACATTTTATACAGGTATATGACGTTTTCGACGTTTACACTTTTTTGAAGTCGAAAACCTGAATATTCGAAATACGGACCATCCCTGGTCAGGGTTCAGTTCAATAAATTAATACTTATGGGTACTAAATGGTACTAAATTTGGTACAATTTGAATTTTAGGTGAACCAATAGAGATAGAATCAGGAAATTTGGAGTCAGGATCACTGTTGCGGTGTAAGATTGAGATATGTCGGAAGTTTAAGAAATTTGTACTAATGTGTACTAATTTTGGTACAATTTAAATTGTGGATGAACCAATAGAGTTGGAATCCTGAAATTTGAATTTAGATTCATTGTGGGGGTGTAGAATCGGGGTATGCAGGAATTTGTTGGATGTTGATGTTTGAGGTGGATACTTATGGAAGTAATGAATGTGTGCTAAAATTGTTATCGTAGTAAAAGATTGTATATTCTTGCACGATCTGGGGCAGACCAATTTATTTATAAATTCCACATTCGATCACATACAACAATATAATTGGTATCAATGTAAAAGTCAATCACTCCTCTTGGATACATAGTCATCTTCTATGGTTTATGTCCTTCAGGAATAAATATATACGCCATAGAATCCAAATTTTTTATTTTTCATACAAAAGTCGTGGCTCATTTGAACCGCTAAATATTGACCGATCATGTTCATGATAATCATTATCAATACGTTCCTCATGTAAAATTTCTTGATGTTCGGTTCATAATTGCGGCCTCTAAAGCGAACAGAAAAACATAGAAATAAAGTTTTTGGTCCATTTCATATTCATAAATATTAACGGTCCATAACTGTAACCTGGGTCATGTTTACAAATTATAATGGACAGACGGACGAACACACATGCCCAGATCGACTCAGTTACTCAAGATATGACGATTAGTATACTAAAAAGCGTTAAAAACTCTAAAATTGTGAGAATCTTTATATGTAGGCTATACCGAAGCCTGAATCGATATTAGTGAAAATATAAAATTAGAACCAAATTTGGTTAAAAAAACCTGCCCAAAATTCCAGAAATACCGAATAATAGGGGGATCCGTTATATAGTGCCACATGAGCCAATATTGATAATTTTTTACCGAAATTTCGAATACACCGTTTTGTGGGGGCTACTCTAAAAAGCGGACCGACTTTTGTTGCCAGAAGTTGTAGGGTGTCTGTTTGTCAGAAGGGTGTCTGTTTGTCAGAAGTTGCAGCATGTCATTTTCAGTGTTTTGAAGACTTTAACCTCATTTTGTCCACCTAAGGGACGTAATTTACATTCCACGTTCTTAGAGGATGAAAAAAATGTATCAGTCCATGACATAACTTCATATAAAGTCTCGCCCCATTACCAGTATTTACTCACCACATTGTATTTATTTTAAAATTCGCAATAAATTCGGTGCATAAAATTTCCCAACCCATATTCATTATTTTTAAAATTTAAGACGTAATTTTCCCACTCCATTCTTGGTAAAAATAACCGTATTTTACCAGCAAAGTGGTCTACTTTAGGCATCCGGATTATAATAGGATAGTACGTCTTTGCAGAAAAATGTGCAATATATATGTTCAAATTTTAACAAAGCGACCATAATAATGTCCTGATCCACCTTCGGTATTTTAAAGATTTTAGCGGCATTTTCCAATTGATGTTGTTGCAATTTGTCATGCCGATTTGTGGTGAATAAAAAACTTATTGGAATTGAACGAAAAAATGCGGCTCATGGAAATATTGACTTTAGACCCCAAGTTTCTTTGGACCAAATCAGTTTTAAACAGTTTGGAGTCGATTTACAAATGTCCGTCCGTCTGTCTGTCTGTCCGGTTGATGCACTCTCAAACTCTCGAAGGGAGTATCCGATTTCATCCAAACTTTGGAGACCGTAATATTCCTTCCAAACATAGTTTATGTTCGAAGATGGGGAATATCGGTCCACTCGTACTGGTACCTACACCACAAAATGATCAAAATTTTGCTGAAAATACATTTTATAATATCATGCGAACGGATTATCCGTTTTGAACAAAACTTTGTATAACCTATAACCTTTATCAAGCCTAGATCAAGTCCGAAGATGCGACCCATTGGTCCATTCCTTTGGTACCTCCCCCACAAAAATGTTCAAAATGTTCAATATTTATAAATCCAATATCAGGCGAATGATATGTCCGATTCGACTTAAAATGTTCACAACATATAATCTTTACCAAACCTAGATCAAGTCCGAAAATTGGACCCATTGACCACTCATTCTAGTAACTCCGCCACAAATGGTCAAAAATTTCAATATTTGTAAAACAAATATCAGATATATGGAATTTCCGATTTAAACCAATTTAAACCAGGCGAATAATATGTTCGATTTGAACCAAACTTTGCACAACCTATTATTTTTACCAAGCCTAGATCATGTCCGAATATGGGAGTAATTGGTCCACTCCTTCCGGCACCTCCCCCACAAAGAGTACAAATTTTCAATTCAATATTAGATGAAAGAAATTTCCGATTTGAACCGAACTTTGCACAACCAATACGTATAAAACACACAATGAAACCAGTGTGTAATTCCGAAACCCTCCGCAAGCCATAAGTTAAGGGTATATATCCGACGTCAATACTGACTGACACTTTTTTCTTTGTAAACAAATTACTTAAAAAATTGTGTATCCTTTAAAAATTTCAATCCTTTCAAAATTTCAAAAAAATGTCTATGAAAAGAGACTTTCATTGACATTTTCTAAAACAAAAAATTAAATACAAGAAACTTTCTACGAAACTATTTTTAGCGCCTGGAGAACTCTAATTATTTATTTTCGATTATCAACACTTTTTCAATTGCATAGGTTTTGATAGCTTGTCAAAATATAATTTAAAATTGTTTTTGTAAATGAGGTAAGCAAAATGAATACAATTTATTTTAAATTTTCATATTTTTAAATTATTTTATTGTTTTTCAGCTCTGTTAAATCCCTTCTCGATGCCCTGCTATGGGACATCTATGGTCGCCAGCAACGTTCCAAAAAATCACGAAAATCTCGTTCCAAACACAACAAATTCCTCTATCTACGTTCCATAGCTTTCCTACAAAATGACATACGAAAACTGCGTGATATGAAATCGTTGCTACACGATGAAATACGTTTAATGTCCAGTTTCCTACAGCAGGCCTTGGCGGAACGCGAGCAGCAAAGATGGCAACAATGGCGTTTGTGTGATTATTTAAATGCGTTATTACACCACCTGGTACAGGGTAAGTTAAAAAGTGATGACATTTGTTGCAAACGAAGTTACTGCGCAAACGCGATACATAAGTGACAGTACATTGACAAGATAACTGTCAAAGCGTAAAACGGCCAGGAAATTTCTTTAGTAGACTACCATCGAAATTTTCATTCAGTCGTCGTGGACATTTGAAACGATAAGCAGAGTTACGAGACCAACCAGAACAGCGATTTAGGGTAAACACACACAAAAAAACTAAAATTCCTCTAAGCAAAACAACCACCACTACTAACAACAACAAAAGCAGCAGCAGCTAAAAAAACCTCAACACTTGAAAAAGACCTTTTCTTCTGCAATTTCTTTATCCTTGAAAATATTTTTTGATCTTTTTTCCATAATTTTGGAATGTGAATGAAAAGCTTTTTTTGAAAAGTGGTGTAGCTTTTGTGCGATTGTAAAAATAATGATTTTTTGAAAAGATTTTTGAAAAAGAAATGCCTTTGAAAAAAAAATGATAAAGAAAAGTGGCCTAATTGTCTCCGTGTTTAAAATTCTGCAGACCCCTTGGGGTCTGTGAAAATGCAAATACAAAGAAAAAATATAATCGATATGTGTGGAAAAAGTGCGTGATGAAAAGAATTTTTTTTATAAAGGAAAAATTTTGTAAAGAAAATCAAAGTAATTTTTTATAGAAAAATTAGTGAAAAGGAATGC